AGTGCCTTCTTCCTGAATGCCCTTTCACTTGATGTGGTCCTCTTCTTTAAGACCGGCCTAAATATCACCATTATAAAATTTTCTTGAACTCTTCCAGCTGATTTAGTTTTTCTTTCTTTTGTTCTCATAGCACTTGGGTTTTGCTCTCTGTTATAGGCACCATCACATTATGTGGTAATTATTTACTTACCTCTTTCTCTCTTCCACCCTTAAGATTGTCAGGGAAAAGGACTAGACTTTATTTCTTTTATGTAACCCTAGTACAGTGGCTGAATTAACATGATCCATGGAGAAGGTCCCTTTAGAAATTTGTAGTAGCATGTAGGATAGTTTCCTGTCAGAGACCTCAGACCTATTTAGTATATTTAGCCTCTGGTTCTAAAAACTTTTTATCTTCGACTCATTGAGTTATTACCTTTAGGTACAAGGAAAACTTGGAGAATATCTGGGTCATCCTTAACCCCCTCTTGAATTACAGACTACAGCGGGAGGAGGAAGAGGCCTTTGCCAGCAGTCAGAGCAGCCAAGGGGCCCAATCCCTTACATTTTCCAAGTTTGAAGAAAAGAAAACCAATGAGAAGACCCGCAAGGTTACCACAGTAAAGAAATTCTTCAGTGCTTCATCCAGGGTTGGATCAAAAAAGGGTAATTTTCTGATTCTCTTTTTTTCTTCTGTGCCCAAATGAGAAAAAAAATCCACAATGCATGTGGGCTCAACTTTTTAATTTCTTAAGCATTCAGAGAATATCAACCAAGATTTGAGACCGAAATTGGGTTTGAGGCCCAGACAATATGTGAAATCTCATCAGTTGGAGGAATTGTGTTTTAGAGAACTTGTTTACGCTGTAGGAGAAGTAAAGAGAAATGAAATATCTAGTTTTGTTTATAAAATTCCTTTTCATCCCATCTGTTTGAATGTTTTATTTTTTGTGTTTTTAATTTTTGGATCCTGGTTTATTCTCCTTTGTGTAATAGCCTCATTGTCCATACCTTATCAGAAATGATTGTTTCTAGGCTTAAATCATCTAGAAAAGTTTTCTGAGAGCTTATTGGAGAGACAGCTTGTATCTTGAGGAAATACTGTACAGAGAAGGAAAAGTGGAACAAGGCTCACCTTGGGCTTTTAAGAGTGTGAAAGTAACCCATAGTAGATATTGTCTGGTGCATGGATTGGTATGTACTTGACCTTATTCATCCTGCTTCTCAAAATTCCATATAACCAGCAAGAGTATTGTCACTAAAGTCATGCTTGTTCTACCAGTGAGCAGGTAAGCTAATTGAAGTGGTGTAGCCGGAAGCAGAAAAGAAAATACCTGTTGTTAGGGCTTAGTCTCGGAACCTTTATGTTGATAATCAGATACACCGTAAGTTGGAAATAGTAAAGGATACTGGGAACCAACAGCAATGCTGTCACAAGAGTCCTTCTCTTGGGTACTACCCGCCAACCTGGGGTAATTGTCATGGGGTTTTGATCTGCCTAAATGAAGGGGAATGAAGAATATTACCTTAAGATCTTTGCTGGTCTTTTGGATTTAATGATTATTGGTTTTTGTTTTATTAAAGGGAAAGGTTGCTTATAAGCAAAAACACAGTACTTCTCTTTAATAAAGGCAAACCTTTTAACAGTCTTTTTATTCACATGATTAATTTGGAGTTGTCCTTGGTTGGCTGTTACTCATAGCAGTTTTCTTTACAACAGTAAGAAGGGGAATAGAGATTAATGATTTGATAAGGATGTATTTGGCTCATGATTTATTTATTAGGAGATAGTGTAGTAGGGTGATTAAAAGCATAAGCTTTTGAGTCACCCTGATTTGAGTCTCAGCTGTGCAGTTTACTAGCTGTGTGACCTTAAGCAAGCTAATCTCTTTAAGGCCTGTCTATTCTTAGGGACAGTAACACCTATTATAGGCATGTCTTGAGGATTAAATGAGCTGATGTGTGTACTGAGTTTAGCACAGTACCTAACACATAGTAAGTCTCCAATAAGTGTTAGCTATATGTTGTTTTTCTTATAGAATAATCTCTTCTGGTAAGGAGCACAAAGGTGTTGATCAAAAGCATTCATTCCTATTTAGCTTGAATTCTGTTTCCTGCTCTGGGAAAGTCTCATTAACCTTATGAATTTATGATATATGGTGAAGTGGTATATGCCAACAGATGAAACAGTAAAGAAATTATAAAACCATCAGTTCTAACTGCCATATTTTACAGATGACTGTAGAAAAGCCCATAGAGGTGAACTAATTTACCCAAGATCATGTAATGAATTAATATATTAGACCTCAGGTCTCCTAACTCCTTGTTTTTTCCATTGTATCCCTTGACCTCAAATATGTGTGTAGGTTTATCTATAACTATACCTGCGTATGTATCTATATAAATAGAAATATGATGAAGTTTCTATTACTGAAGTGCATAATACTCATGCACATTCATTGACTAAACTTGACAGTTAAAAATATCATGTCCTAAGAGCTTCTGTACAGTATGCATTATATTAGGAAAAGATTTGTACTTTAAAAGAAACAATTCCAAATGATTAAAAAAATTTTTTTAATTGAAGTACAGTTGGTTTACAGTGTGTTAATATCTGGTGTACATCATAGTGATTCAGTTACACATATATATGTATTTCTTTTCATATTCTTTTCCATCATAGGCTATTACAAGATACTGACTATAGTTCCCTGTGCTATATAGTAGGGTCTTGCTGTTTATCTATTTTATATATAGTAGTTAGTATCTACAAATCCCAAACTCCCAATTTATCCCTCTACCCCTGCTTTCCTTACCCAATAACCACAAGTTTGTTTTCTGTGTCTGTGATTTTTATCTTAATAAATGATTTTTATCTTAAAAACTTTTATGTGGAATAGTTCTTACTTTTTTCTTTTCTTTAGAATGATAGATTTTTACTTTAGTTTTTTTGGTGTTCAGTTGTTTTTTCGTCTGTAGAAAGTATATGAGGATAAAGACCTCAGAGTGTTGAAAAAAACTGATGTGTGAGTATTAGAAAAGAGGCTGCAATTGGATCTTTGTTTCACAGATTGCTTATGTAACTTTGCCAGGGGAGCTTTGCATTTCAGGCTGATTGTTTGGCCTTTTCATGTGGATAAGGTTAGCCTATACTAAATGCAGTTTTAATCTATTGAGTCTAGACTAAAATAGACCTTTTGTGTTTTGTATTCTTTATTTTACTTTGTTAACACAAAATGTCCTTGCTTTTGATATTTATTTGCTTCTGTTGGTAACTTGAAAGAAAGCTCTTAAGCCAGTGCAGCTTGGCAGTAAATAGAACACAAAAAATCTTCTAAGGGATTTGAAAAATATTTTAACTTCCTGTTAGAGTTGGCTGTCCCTTCAGAGAAGGTAAATGGAACAGCTTGACTGTAAAGACTCAGAGAATTTACTTACATTTTTTAATCTCCAGTGTAAGGTTGTGAGCTCTAGTTTAGAGTAAATCCTAGTGGATCAGCCAAGTCCTCCCACCCTTTGTGCTATTGTTGTCCTACATTTTGCTTCTATATATGCTATGAATCTCACAATCCATTATTATTACTCTAGCTTTTAAACAGTTAATTTTAATTATCTTTTAAGGAAATTTTTAAGTGAGAAGATGTCTTTTCTGCTTGCCTACAGATTTGCCGTTGTTCATGCTCTTTGTTCCTGAGTGGTGGGGAAGATGAGTTATTCTCAGCCATGTGTGCTCAGGGGATTGTTCTGCCCACTCCTTCACCCAGTTGTGGGTCGTTTTCTCACATGTATGCGCAGTACTCAGTCGGAGACTCAAGGGAACCTCTTTGCAGTTATCTGTAGTTTTTTCTTTGCAGCCCTGTCCTCTCTGTATTTTGCATGCAAATTCTAGCAACTTTGGCCTCCCTAAGCTCTTAATGCTGTTTCCCCAATTTAGCAAGTCTGCTGAGTAAGATCTGCTTGAGTTGCCTCTCCGTGTGCCAAGGCCTTAAACCTCTCCCCACAGTGAGCTGGAGCACTAGGGAGGATTTACCATGTTTGTCCCTTTCTCCCAGGGACTACTCCCCCTTCTACCTGTTGGCCAGTGTCTGGAAATCATTGTTTCATATGTTTTGTCTGATTTTCCGAAGGCAGTAGGATAAACCTAATCTCTGTTGTTCCATCATGAGTAGGAGTGGAATTATCAGATTGAGTGAAGGATTAAATTCCAAGTATTAAAGAATTCTTTTCTAATTAATAAATACAATTTTTGGTTTTCTATATTGGTAAAAAATGTTGCAGAAAAGATGCTGCTGGTTTCAGTATTAATGATTAAATATGTAGATCAAAGCATGATACATTTTGGCTGAGAAGATACTAACAGAGTAACTTTTATTTGAATAGAAGTATCTTTTAGATATGTAGTTTTATCTACTTGTGCCTCCTACTCAGAAAATAGATTAGCTTACTTTAAGGAAAGTGCAAATATTTAAACATAAAATAATTTAAATTCAAGTTTAACTTTGATTAAGCGTAATTTAAATAATCTTAAGTTAGATACTTAAAGTAGTTCCATGCATGGATCTTCTATGTAATGAAACTTACTATGTTTAATTTTCCCAGCAGAAATTCAGGAAGCAAAAGCTCCCAGTCCTTCTATAAACCGGCAAACCAGCATTGAAACGGATAGAGTGTCTAAAGAGTTCATAGAATTTCTCAAGACCTTGCACAAGACAGGCCAAGAAATCTATAAGCAGACCAAGCTGTTTTTGGAAGCAATGCATTACAAAAGGGTAGGTTGAGAACCACTTAGAAACACAGAGTTTTGGTTTTGGAAAGGTCTTAGAGATGATCTAGTGCAACTTTGTCATTTTACACCTGAGAAAATTAAGACCCAGAAATGTCAAGTTACTTACCTGAGAAATGTTGCTAGTTAAACATGACTTGCAGGCTAGTACTTTTCCACTGCAACTTAGTGGTGATTGGATCATCAAGTGGAATGTCTGGCATCGAAGCCATTTGTATTGTGTACTTTTTTAATAAGCCTTCCTAACTTGTCACCTTGTAAACAGTGTTTTGCCAAGAGAGCCACCATAGACCTTGAACTCCAAGTAACAGTTGTTAGACTAGTAGCTATCATTTTAGGGTTTTTTTGTTTTTGTTTTGTATTTTGATTTTTAATGTTTCTCTCCTTGCTCAGGTAAAATTTAGACATTGAAAGGGAGCTTTCAACTTTCAACTGGTTTGAAAGTTTCAACTTTGAAACCTTTCAACTGGTTTCAGCCCCTTTATTTTACAGATGGGGAAGTTGAGAGCCAGAGGGGATAAGTGACTTGTCCAGGGTCCTCCACATGTGTGTCTTGAACCCATAATTTCTAACTCATAATTTCAACAATGAACTGTTCTTGCCGACATCTTTTTCTGCCTCATTCCTGTTTTCTCTAGTCCTAGGATATGCCAGTGGTAAGCAACTTTTTCCACATGTGGGTCAAGTCTAGAAAATTAAATATTTTCAGAAATGGATTAAAAATTTTTTTTCAGCCATTTAATCACTTTATATCTGCCCTGAGACTTAAAAAAATTTCCCCATCCCAAAAGGGTATCTCTTTCGGCTAAAATTTCATTCAGCACCTATATAATCCATACACACTGCAATACTACAGTGTAATGCTTGGCTCTTCAACAAATGTTGTTTGCTCAGATTCTTCTGAAGCTGGTTTATTTTACCCTTTTTTCTTTTTGATTAATCTTATTAACTACTTAATATCCCTGGTAGTCCCTTTTCATATTCTTTAAGAGATATTTCTATTGCAGATGAGACAGACAATGACATTAGCACAAAGTTCATTTATGTTGAACATCCAATTGTCAGCAGCTACTTTTTTCTTCTTAGAAATTCAAATTTGATTGGGTGGGAAGGTGGAGGGGGGAGTGGGGCATATGCAGAAGCTAAAAAAGAATTTACAAGGTTTAGTTTTTAAACTTTATTATCATTACAAAATAACTGGAATTTAAGAATCTTACTGTAAGAACCAAGCTTCATATAGGTTTAAGAGTGGCCACAGATTCTGGGATGTATATGGTCACCAGTGAAATGAAGGATGTCTAGATTTCTTTTGTCATTTGGACAAAAATTTTATGTGCATGAGTAATTTTAAAGCATTATATAGACCCAGCTAGATGTTCACTTTTCCCATCATAACTTGAAAACCATATTTTCTAATTTAATGAGATCTCTGGCTTGCTGAAGAATTTTTTTCCACACATTTATTCATAGGAAACATTTCAAAACACACTGACTGTCTTTATTTTTCTTTAAAACTTCTAAGTGCTTTCTTTCAAACTTTGTACTTAATTTGTCACGAATGAGAAACAATTAGTTTATGGACCTGCCTTGGGTCTGTTGACTGTAGTGATCTGTGTCCTCATCCTCACATGGGCACCACCTGAGAGGTCGATAGAAATGAGGACCCCAGTGAGTTAGACTGCCTTTAAATCAAAGTGAGACTCCTGGAGAAACTCTTTAACTGCCCAAACTATTTAAATCCTACTCTTGCTGATTGTTGACAGATTCTTCAGCTACATTTTCCCCTGTTCTGAAAGTGTAGCTTGCCCTGTTTTTCTGTTTTTTGTTTTTAAGAATAGCCTAGGTAATCCTCTCCTTCCTCAAAATTCAGACTTTTTAATTTATTGGATATTGAAGTAAAGCTTTTTAGTAAGTGAATTTTCTGGGTTTTTCAATGCTGTTTTTTCAAAAACACAATTCGTTTATTAATAGTTGTTCAAATATGCGCTTATTCCTTGCTGAGGAAGTGGTCAAGCACAACATAAGACCATGCTGCTTTCATTGTCCTTTTCCCAGCCAGTCATTCTGTAAAAGTCTGGTATTGATTATATTGTATAGACTTAGTTTTTTTTCTGATATTCAGTCTCCTGAAAAACTATTTTCCTAATCCTAAATGAGAAGGAAAAAAATTATGGTTTAAAACATGGCTATGTCTTCATTTATCTTCTCTTCCCCAGAACAAGTGCAAAGATAGGTGTCCTTTTATATTTTAAAATAACTTCACTATTCTAGACCATATGTGTATGCAAGGAGTAGTTTGCCCTGCTGTGTAATTAGTTAGGAGAGGGAAGTGTGTATTCAGAACAAAGAAACTTTAATCAACAAAATAAGTTTTAATTATGGTAAAAAAGTTGGGGTGGGGGAGAAGTAACCCAGGGCCATTAGATCCTGGGTTAATTTTAAGTAAAATTAGGAGCAGCGAGGATGAGAAGGGAGGCAGTGAGACAGTGGGAAAACATCTGAACTGATGGAGTCTACACAGCATAAGAAACAAAACTAGGTAAAAGTTTGAGTTGTTAACTATATTGAAAGTAATGAATGAATAAAAATATTCAAGACCAATCAATCAAAATCACAGTGGAAAAGTTTTGAACTCTACAAATCCCCCAAGGCACCTAGCAATGTATCTTAAAATGCAACAACCAGCAAATAAATTTCTTTAAATAAACAGAAAACAAAAAAACATTCAAGACCATGTCATAGAAGGCAGCTGTGGTGGTGCAGTGGGTGAGGCTGGCGCAGTACAATCTCTTGGCTTTGGTGTCATGTCCCAGGCCCTTTCCTGCTGCACACAGCGACAGAACAAAAGTGGAAGAGGACATGGGTCAAAATGGAACAGAAGAGAGATACTCCCTCTACAGAGAAGATGCTCATGGAAGGGAAGGTCAAGCTGAGAGAACAGCTAGAAGAGACTACGGAAAAATAAGTGAGGCTTGGCAGATACCGAGAAGTTGTGACGGAGGAGCCGGAAATGCTGGAGGAGGCAAAATTACATGGTATTTAGAGCTTCTGCAAGGACTTGTTAGAGGCTGCAGGCATTTTAGAGAAGGCAACAGTGAAGAAATTAAAGACACTAACCCTTACCTGAAGAGCCTTTATGAAGGCCTCGTAATGACTGAAGTCCACGTTCAGAAGGTGTTCATGTAGCATGACTTACTCAGGTTGAACGAACTGTGGTTCAGATCAAGCCAGGTTTTGACTCCTACAGATGTGAAGCCTTGTTCCACGTGCTGGTTAAGGGGAAAGAGCCGGACTCAGTGGTGCTAGTTACCAAGGTTGGGTGCATTGCATGGGCACACCCCAAGACTTACCCTGCTGCGGGTGGTGAAACTTAGCAGCCTCTTGAAGAGATTTCTTTAAAGTAGCTGCTATACTCCTTGAAGGGCTGATTTCCTCTACTCATCTATGAATACTTTTGAGCTTTTCCTAAACCTTGTTGGAAAACTCAAGTAACCAGTGGCTAAATTGTGTAAATTACATTAATGAACTCTAATTTGGGAGCCTGTTCATTGACTTTTAGGACTGCATGCTTAGTAATTTCACACATTTGCAGAAGAGGCCAGCAGGACACTACTGGACCTCTAGAGTATCATGGATAGTGCTATATCTGCTCAAACTCTGATGACATCAGAGTATTTAAATGAATACAGTGTCTTTGGGAGTTCTGCTGTTTAGTTACCTGGCCATGCAGACTGCCCTGTGTTTGCTCTGCATCTCACTGGAGTTACTGGAACACTTACCCACTACACATTTCATTCAATGGAGGAAAAGCAAGAGCTTAAACATTTTTCTTGCTGTAAGATTATATATTTGTGAAAAGCATATGTGAGTTCATTTGTAATTAGTAATAATCCAGTTCTTAAAAATGATCACCTACTGGCTTTTCCTTAGAGATGTGAAATGAAAATATGTAACTTAACAGTTCTCACCACTTTCATTTTGCCAATAATTGAATCTGATAAAAATCAATTACTTTTGCTCTGTTTTGTTCATCTAACTGTAGAGATGTTTGTCTATACTCAATTAGCTACTTAATCTCAAGGTATATTCCCTGGTAAGATAGACTGTCTCAGAATATGAGGACTGCATGCTTAGCATACTTTAAATATTAATGTTTAATTTTATATTTTATTTAAGGATGAAAGCTCTATTGTGTTCAGTTTCCTAAAAAAATGATTGAAGGCAGCAGAAACTAGCAATACAAGAAATATGAACATTAAAGCTAAAAGCTAAATGGATGAAACAGTTAACTGTAGTACAAAAGAAACTTAATGAAATCAGAAACTAGATCATGGAGATCCAGTTTCTAAAGATGAAATACACAAAAAATAAAACTAAGGAAATAATCAAATAAAGATTTTTAAAACTGGAGGTAGAAAAAAACTTCAGCCAGACAATTAGGAAAGTATACAGAGAACTTCTCAGCATTAATATTCAAAGGGATACACCCGCTTGTCAAACTTTTATACCACAAAGGAAAAATTTTTTAGGAAAAAAAAGTTGCTTTACACAGGCATTAAAGAAAAGATGATCCCAGGCAATGGTTAGAGAATACTTAAGGAGAAGGGTTCATTTACACTGCTACACTGTATTTTTTCTTTGAAAACTATGAAAAAACCTTTTGGAATTTTGTAAAACCTGAAAGAATTTACCAACACAAACCTACTATTATATCATTTAGCTCCTTTGGCAAGAACTTTGATGGATCTGAGATTTACTCAACTTGCAAGTTAACAAGTTAGCCCGCCGTAGTTTCATGGATAATGGTGGAAGACACATCTCCTGGGTCAAGGGGGGAATAAAAGTCCATTTTATTATAGCAACAGCAGTAGCCAGAGTCTGTCAGTATTTACACCAGTTCCCTGAGTATCAGTTCCCACAGGGCAGTGCAAAGGTCAAATAGCGCCTGCATGTGCAGTGAGTTTCATTAGAGAAGAGAATCTTTTATAGGGCCGTGAACTTGCCTGACCTTTGCCCCAGTGAGAAATGTTATTATACTGGGCAGTATTATACTGGACAGTGAAATCTACGCTTCTTACTTGAGGGAGGCTCTGCCTGCCTTCCAAGCCTGTCCACTATACTCCTGTCCTTAAAAAGAGTGCAGAACAGAGGCAGGCAGTGTCTCTCCCCACAAGGTGTGTAGAAATATGAGAGACCTATGTAGAATTGTCCCCTGGCCTCTTTACAGTATTACAAAGGGAGGAACAATAATAAATGGCCACTTTCATTCCTTCTTTCATTCAGCTAGTGTTGAGCACTGGCCCTGTGCCTGGCTCTGAGGATGTGGTCGTGAACAGTACCCTCACTGAGCTGACATTTTAGTGGAGGAGATGGACAATAAAATAATTTATAATACGACAGTATTAAGTCCTGCAGAGAACCTGAAGCAGGATGAGAGGGCAGAGTGGCAGGGGAGTCATTTCACTGTATAAAATAAACACTACTGAAGTGTAAATCTGTGCAGTATAAACAGAAACATAAAAAGGAGGTTTCTGAATTGTAACAATCACAGTGATTGTGTGCAGCAGGGGTGGGGGAGGAATAGGTAAACCATCACCACCTGTAAAACAGGCCATTTAGGCCTTTAAAAGGTCCCAGTTTCTGGTTAGAAGTGAGTACTAGTAATTACAGGAATGAAGTTTGTTCTGAGTGTTAAGATTTGGTGCAAATGAAAGGTAGTCATGTCTTACCTACCTAAATAGATATAAATAGTAGATAATCCAGAAAGTATGTAAGCTAAAAGAATAGCAAGTAAAATTAGAGCATCATAAAGGAAAATTAAAATACCATAGTTAAAATGTTAAGTAAAGTACCCATATTAAAAGTAAAGTTAGATTTATAGATTTAATAGTAAAAGAAAATTTCATCTCATAAACTCCATGATGATAATCTGTCTTTTGTTTATTTAAACCCAGTCAGCTTATTGGAATGATTTGAGATTTACAAAATGAGTTAAGGTAAGAATAAGAGAACAAGGGAGTAATTTGATGATATTTAGAATTTATAAACAAGTTCTTATGGGCGTGTTCTTTAAATAGCTGCTGCTTATGGTTTTCTACGTGAAAATCGGCATAATCTTGTAAATATTTCTCTGAAGGAGTATTTTCAGTGGACCTAAACTTGTTCAGTCCATGGATATATTTGTCTGGTGATCTAATTTAGTGCAGAGATGAACCTTAGAGAATTTACAATATAAATTTCTTTGCTCAATTTGTAGATTAAGGTTAGACAGGAAACCAAAACTTGAAGTCTCATTAGGAATTGCCACTAGAGAAAGCCATGTATTTGCCGTACCAGGCATGCTCATCTGTAGAGACCCGTCCTGCCTCCCCACAGAGGCCGCGGCAGGGTATGGCGGGCGGGATCCAGACCTCTCTCGTAGAGGAGCTCTGGATGTACTTGTGTTTACACCACAGAACATGAAGAAGACAACCTTTCTCATAAGCATAACTGGACTGAGAATAATTTCAGAGTTAGGGGAGCAGGAAGAGCACATGCAGATGATCAGAACAGTAGGTAACCTGGCAGGGTAGGTGGGGAGTCGGATGGGCCATGTGGGCTGAGTATACTCTTGAGCATCCAGCTGATAGATGACCATTGGAGGGTTGAGGCACAGTGTGACCAGATCATGATCTAAGATGGTCAGTTGAAAAGTGAGAAGGATCAAAGGTGGGGAGAGCAGCTGAACTCCAGGTGAGAGGTAGTGAGGACCCAAACCAGCGAAGGATCGATGGGAGAGACGCTGTGAAGGTAGATAGGCAAAGTCTGGTCACTGTCCCTCACCCCCAGGCTTCTTTCCTGAATTAGCCAGAGTGCCAGGCTCTGCGACCTTCACTGGGGTTTTATTAGCCCAGGTCATTGGCCTATGCAGAGGTGGTCTGTGGGAAATAGTCCTGTGGAATTTGTCTTGGGCCAAATTCATGCCCTTCTACAGTGACATCTTTGTAAGAACGCTTGGGAGAAATGCCTGATTTTGCTGTTAAATTTCACCTGAAAAATTAGTTTGCTTTTACATTTTGGACACTCAGTTATGTGACTTGTTTTCATCTTAGTGATGATTGCTAGAAAGTTTAGAGAGAAATTTATAGGCTGAATTTTTACTGACTTGCAAATTTTTGTGTTATCTTTCCTGACTCTAATTTCTGTTTCTGTTTCTCTCCATGTTCTATTTTGCTTTTCTTTTTTTATCATTTTCTAGTTTGTTGTGCTAAACCATGTTTTTCTTTCATATAGATTTCAAGTAGTCTTTGGAAGAAAGAGGAATAAATACATGTGTTATACCTATAAAATCAGTAAAACCAAATAAAAATGATAGTGCCCAATATTGGAGCGGTTGTGGAGAAATAAGCACACCTATGTGGCTAATGACCGTACATTGGAGTTTCTGAGGATTGTATCTAGCAGCAGATACTTAGAGCTATAAAGTTGTTCATACTTATTAAATTGTTAATGCCACTTTTGAAAATGAGTCACAAAGGAATAACCCAAAAGAAACATTCTTCACACAGTTGTTTATAGCTGCATAAATAGTGAAAAAGGGAAGAAACCCAAACACACAGTGGTAAAGGTTGGTTAAATAAATCCATTAATATATTGGAATATGATAAAGCCATCAAAAATGGTTAAGTAGATTAGAGAAATCTAAATGTACGTAAACATATAAATTATCAAAATATGCATTATACCCATGTAGAAATATGTATAAACAGTGAGAGGAAAGGAGAGGTCATGAGATGTTGTAAATAATATTAACTGACAAGCTTTTCTCCCCTGCAGCATTTATATAATTTTAAGTACTTTGGGGATTAGTTCAAGGAGTGGACTTTGGAAACTTTGTAAGATTTAGAGCTTTTCTCATGATCTTTCTTCAGCTACTAAGCAGCCTCTTTGTCCCTTTGTTTCAGGACTTAAGCATTGAGGAACAGTCAGAGTGTACTCAGGATTTTTACCAGAATGTGGCTGAAAGAATGCAGACTCGCGGAAAAGGTAATACTTTGTGAGCCAGCCTATGAGAGACTGCTGGCAGTTGCACAGGGCCCGGCAGCCGAGTCTCTTAGTAGTTTCTCTTTCGCTAAAGGTGTGGGTGGTTTGCCCATTCTGTCCTAACCTGCTCCACTGCCATTCTGGTAGCTGGGTTACACTTAGCAGTGCCTTTGAATACCACCATGCATATCATTCCAAGATAATCAAGCCATTGGATAATTCACTGAGCAATGTTTAATAACCTCATTAGGAGTAGGGACAGAGTCAGTTAAAACCCCTTGGGAGGCTTCTAAATGAAATCCCCATGTTGGAATTACCATCTTGGTGAGTCGCTGTTCATGGTCATGTATTCCTCACGTGAGTTGGGGCAGGAAAAAAAAAAACTGAGAACCACTGGCAGTGCTTTAGATTTTTAGGGATTCTCCTTGATTTTGACTTCCACTGATGTGGATTTTGGAATATACTGACGTGCATGTATATCAGAGAAATTTGCCCATATGTTTACCTCAGAGAAATCTCTAAGGTTTTAGAGTAAACCTCCAAAAAATGAAAGGGTGAATCTTGCCAGCATTTATCAGTCATGAGAATTTCAGGTCTTGGGAATTTTCTAATGTAGTAATAGAGAATGGCCTGTGCTGAGGTCTTCCCACTTGGTACGGTGTATACCTGTTAGGTCCTGCTAGACAGCTTAAGTTAGAAGTGAGAATTCTGTAAAGACAGCCCCAAAAGCTGAGGTAATTTTTAAAGGGTATTTCTTTAATGTAGCACCTTATACTATGTTTCTGGATATGTTTAATATATTTCTAGTAAATTAGTTTTCTGCTATGTAGAAGGTACTGTGAAAACATACTCTTAATTTTAAGTGTCCATCCTTCATCCAAATGTCCATTTGGCTATTTCAGTGCCTCCAGAGAGAGTTGAGAAGATAATGGATCAGATTGAAAAGTACATCATGACTCGTCTCTACAAATATGTGTTCTGTCCAGAAACTACTGATGATGAGAAGAAAGACCTCGCTATTCAAAAGAGGATCAGGTAGTTGATTGTACTGCTTTGCCTTGTCTGTTTACTACCTCCTGTTGGAAGAACACATTGTGGGAAAACAGGGCCCTCGAGTTTCAAACCTTGAGAGCAAGTAACTGGTATAAGGTACCTGCCATCCTTAGCATCCAAGCTTAATTGTGGTGTCAGAAAGAAAAGGAATATGGTAAATTGACAGGAGAAAAGGGCTCAAGCCACCATCTTGAATCCAGGCAGCTTTAGATAAAACCATGTCTGATATTTGAGATTGTTAAAATCTCCCAAATTTCCAAAGAACAGGAGGACATTTCATTATTTTCTCATTTTGTTGTATTGTCTTGTCAGGCTGGAAGCTGTGAATATCCGTATCATGGCAGTGAGTGTCATTTTTCCTCATTCCCACCAGGGTTGCTCATTATTCAGCCATCTCTCCAAGCACATCTTTCCACTAGCACTGGGTTGATAATTCACAGAGCACCCACTCTTCCATGGCCAGTAGAGTGAGCCCCAGTGCTCTGCATTCCAAAGGCAGCAAAGCACTTAGGAAAGTAGCCATCTAAATGTGGGAACAGGGCCAAAACTGAGCACGATGAGGTGTTTCTGGAGGAGAGGGGCCTAGGAATCGCAAATGGGGTTCCCAGACCGTGGGGCTGGTACTTGGTAGCTCTGTCCTTGATGGTGCCTCACCAAAAGTGAGGAGTTGATATTGGGAAATGGAAGACAGAAGCAGAAGTGACTAGTGGGCTTGGACTAGGGTGTAGAGTAGGAGCATTAGTCAAGCAGGTGGTGAGAGCCAGCAGCAGAATCTCTGGAATGAAGTTACCATGTGACCTGGAACCTCAGAGACTCAGGCTGAGGTGACACATGCCTGTTGACCTCTTACTCAGGCACTGAGGTGCCTCAGAAATTGAAGGCAGAGTCTAAAGGAACATTAAGGGTGGTGGACAGCAAGGACAGGGAGCAGCAGATTCTCCTCAAATCCTCATTCTCAAATATTGAGGGCTTTTTAATCGTATGTTCTTGTTTCATCTGGTAAAATTGTCTTCTGCTTTTCTTGTGATAAGTGCAGAAGAGAAGTCTGATTTTAGGATTCTAGTTACTTCGGCACATGAGCTGAGCTCCTGATGTGTTTGGGGGCGACGTGCTTCAGCCGAGGATGGCTGGTTGGTCAGCAGTGTCCCATCTTTCCCCCCAGGAGATGACAAGAGAAATGATGGCAATCCATCCTTGGAACTCTTTTTTACTGTCTCTCTCTCTCTCGGTAGAGCCCTGCGCTGGGTTACACCCCAGATGCTTTGTGTCCCTGTTAATGAAGAAATTCCAGAAGTATCTGATATGGTGGTGAAAGCAATCACAGGTCAGTGAAACTGAGCGCTTTTATATTTGGATGTTTTTGCCTTGAAGTTAGCATTTTCCTTTATAAATCTATACATATTTCAGTGAGCAAAAAGTATTTCTAAAATGCAGACTGCCAAAGATACACTGGAATGTGGTAGAAGTGATTTAGGAGTGTTAGTTCTATGAATTTGAAGCATCCGATTAGTAGGTAAATCACTTTCCCCCTTCATTTTCAATGACCAAGTTCTCTTATTTCTTGGGCATTGAACTAAAGTCAAATATAGCTAGGGTAAATTTTTAAAACTCAGTTGAATTTATATATTCAAACTAATTTTGGAGGGAGGGAATTGGGGAGGTAATGTCGTCCCCAATTAAGAATTATATATTACAGTGATGCCTCTGATTGATTGTTAATCAGAGACGTGCTTTGAATTATTTTTCTGGTTTGTTCAAGAAATAAATGAAGTGCCCTAAATTGATGTAGCTCTGACACTCTGGATAGATCCAGGCATCTAATAAGGTTCCTGTTCCTTATTCATAGGAGTAATCCAACAAAAGTGCAACACAAAAGTTAAAAAAAAAATGGAGGAGACATCCAACTTTGGCCAACTTCTCCTTAATTAGGAGAGGAGTTGGAAAGACTTGCTGATTTAAAGATTGTTAATGAACTTCTGCAGGGAAGGGAAGTGGGTCAGCTGATGTTAGCACTGTCAAAGGCACGCCATTGAGTAGGCTCCTTTGGTTATAAGAACCAGATGCACTCAAGTTACAGGAGGAAATGGAGTTTGCTTAAGATGCTATCAGGGTTGGAAGGGAGGAGGACTGTCACAGAAACCTAGCTCCAAGTTAAGGGACTGAGTCGTCTGCTGGTTAATGTGATTCTTCTGCTTTCTGGGTTTCTCCTTCTCTTTGTACGTTTTTGCATTCGTCTCCTGTTATAGAATTAATTATTTTCTGTAATCCCCCTTGTAGAGTCTAATTAGCGTCGCTAAATACTGTCATGCTTGTGTTCAGTGCTCTTCTGCTGGGCTATCATGGGTCCCATGAATTGATTCCTTTGGGTCAAGGCCCACTCCCACGCCTACGTTTTGCTCAGGGAACATCTGTAAGAGATTGAAGGTAAAATCTAGACGTGGACCTTGTACTCACATTTTCCCCGAGACTCTTAACTAGAAAGTTCAAGACCGACTGGTTTATGTTTAAAGTACTGCATAGGAATTTATGTTGAGGACTCTTTTCTGAAAAGCTGCAGGACAGACCTAGTAAAACCAGAAACTGCAAGTTCCAGACCGTTGTTTACTTAAAAATAGAAATAAGAAAGAGGATTTCAGTACATCAGCAGTTTATTAATAGAACTGAGGGTAGAACTTTTCTCTCCAGGCATGTAAGATGGAGTTTCAGGAGCTCTTTCGATAGGAAAAATTCAGCCATAAAATTTTAAAAGCCTTCTTACTTTTTTTCATTTTAGCCCCTCATCTTCCCAATCCAAGTGCAGGCATATTCTGCCCCTAAGGACCAAAGTTTTTGTGATTATTTTCTTCCTAATCTAAACTTGTCAGCCTTAGTGCAGGAGAAGTTGGAAAGGACAGTCTATAACAATAGTCTTAAATATTGGAGATAATCAGCTTAATTTCTCCAAATCACCTTATGTGCTACTGATCAGAACTGTCAGCTTTGTTTATAAATACAGCTCTGTTTATAAATAAATGAATTGAGGCATTTTCCCTTTTACTTGCCATCTGTCTTATAGTGGGTAGACCCCATGGATGCTACTTAAAACGTCCTGCAGTGCACAGGACAGTCCCCTAAAGCAGAGAATTATATAGCCCAAAATGTCAATAGTGCCCAGTTTGATTGACCTAGAAGAACAGCCTACTTTGTTTTCAAAACCCCATTAAAGATAAGTCCAAGACATCTGCTGAGATAGAATACACATACTCCACCCTGTTTTTCCTACTGATTATGAGTAAAAGCTCTGGAGAGACGCAAAGCAGTATCTGAGGACTCTGAAAAGTAACTAACAGCAGGCAGATTGGGAAGGGAAGTCATTGCTAGAGGAACACCCAATGCAGCGGGGTTTCTTGTTTTGTTTGCTTTTCCCTCCTATGTCTCCTAGTTTGAACTTGAGGGCAGTGCAAATCATGGAACTACACATCAGGTTGGGGGGTCCAAAAGGGCCAAAACCAAAAAGAAACTTCTTTCAGGCTAAAGGATGCTCAGGAAGGGTGGGGTTCACTACAAGATGAAGAATAGGGGGAAAAATCCCTTGGGTTTTGTTTTGTTTTTCCCTTTATTCTCCTTTCTTTTACTTCTGTTCTCTTCCTTTTCACACTCCTGTTCATACCCCTTGGCCGTGGCAGCAGCTGCACATGCATCCAGATGAAAAGTACAGTTAAAAAAATGATAATCATAGTCTTTAAAAAATTAAAATAAAAAATAAAGTACTGGCATGCCTAGGAGATACTGTGGCTTCAATTCCAGACCACCACAATAAAGCAAGTAACACAATAAAGCAAGTCAGAGAAATTTTTTGATTTCCCAGTGTATATAAAAGTTACATTTATGCTATACTGTACTCTTTTCAGTGTGCAATAGTGTATGTCTAAAAACACAATGTATGTACCATAATTTTAAAATTGCTTTAAAATGCCAAAGCAATTATAGCAGTAAGGTCAAAGTTCACCAATCACTATAGCAAATATAATAGTGATGAAAAAGTTTGAAATATTGCAAGAATTACCAAAATGTAACACAGAGATATAAAATGTGCAAATACTGTTGGAAAAATAGTGCCAATATATTGACTTGCTCGATGCAGGGTTGCCACAAACCTCTAATTTGTAAAAAAAAATAGAATATCTGTGAAACTCAATAAAATGATGTGTGCATATAATTCACCTTTTATTCACTTTCAAACTTAAATAATAAAGATTAATGAGAAAATGGTTAACTGTCCAAAATAGAGAATGAAACAATAATAAAAAGTAGAAGACTAAAAAGGGTGAAAAATGGTTAAAAAATACATAAATTCCTTCAAATCTTTTTGATGATTAGTTCTTTTTAAATAGAAGAATAAACAGACTGAGACATAATAACCATAATTACAACCCAGAATTAAAAGGTTAAAGAAACTAAACAATACAATAAGCAAAAATTAAATGTTATACAATAGATAAGTAGGGGGACTAAAAGTATTAGTAAGTTAAAATAAGGCCAGTGTTACTGCCCCGCACACACTGGGGTCTGGTGGTCCTGTGAGGGTTTCCCCAGGTAGCTGACCTCAGGGATGAGAACTCAGAGCAGAAAGAACGCTGTGGCGTGTTCCACCATCCCACCTAAATCTGAAACTTTTATTCTTGCTAGTGGCAAGAAACTGCTGTCAAATGAAGCTGCCTCAGCTATTTTTGTCCATGATGTTCCAGACTGAAGCAGAAACATACATCCAGAGGCACACCCCACCTCCCCTTGTGTTGTCCTGACAGTGCTGAGTTTGTGCCTAACTGTTCCTCATTGTCTCTCCTAGTCTTTGTAACAAAGAATGTGCATTTATACGAGCCACCGGGTGGACTTGGTGATAGTTAAGGGCAGGGAAATAAATTTTTTCTGAGAGAAATAAAATATAGTTTATGAGATGAAATGTGTACCCTTGTTCATCCGCTCTGTTAACCAGCAGGTTGTAAGTTTCATAAAGGTGTTGTAGATATTCGTATCTAGTAGAGATTTACGTGCCCTCAGGACTGGCCACTGTGGACCTCCATGTGATGGATTTCGGCAGCCTGTATTTTGCTATCCAATACAAAGATGGCTTTTGTATAGTAGCCACACTTCTAAAAAGCTGTATGCAAATTGAGGCTTTCTGAACTGAGTTTGATAATGTATTAAGAGGAACAGAAGCAGTAAAAAGGCTGCTTGTTTCTCCCTGGAGCTTTTAAGCAGTTTACCATCAGAATCAGAAGAATGGGCTTTAGAGTCAGATAGACTTGGTTTCAAATCCCCCTCTCCGGTCACTTGCTGTTGTACAATCTCAGGCAAATCATTGAACTTCTCTGAACCTTAGTCCCCTTAAAAATAGTAGTATACATTGCATGATCTGAAGATGGAAAGAAAGATGCTTGGGAGCGTACTGTGCAGTGCCTGGCTCAGGGTCATGTGTTTTGGCAGTCTAAGTTTTTCGTGCACTAAGTTAACGGAGAAGGGGTTAGCAGGGGTACCTCTGTGACGTAGTAGATAAAAGTGATTATCCTAATGCCTCTTTTATGTAATGATATTCTCACTGGGAGCAACGTCTTCTCTCCTTTATAGATATCATTGAAATGGACTCAAAGCGGGTGCCTCGGGATAAGTTGGCCTGCATCACCAAATGCAGCAAGCACATCTTCAATGCCATCAAGATCACCAAGAATGAGCCAGCTTCAGCCGATGACTTCTTACCCACTCTCATCTACATCGTTTTGAAGGGCAACCCCCCACGCCTTCAGTCCAACATCCAGTACATTACCCGCTTCTGCAACCCAAGCCGACTGATGACTGGAGAGGATGGCTACTATTTCACCAACCTAGTGAGTATTTGGTTTATTGGTTGTACGGAGAAGAACCAGGAAGGTGTAGGTATTTTAAGGATGTGACAGCTCACTCACAGGCCTGTGACATGATACTGCTCCTGAGCTGCGGGGTCATTGTAGCTGAGGATGCTTCTCGGTGTCACAGAGCACGTGTGACCAGGCCACACACACACCCCACCTCCCAGGCCGTGACCACTGTGGTGCTCATACAGGAAATGTGATGGCCACGTTGAGGGGGCTCTGCTGCTGTTGGCCGTCACTCCCCTGGGCCCTGTGTATAAGAGCCACTCGCTTAGTCGGGTTGACTCAACTATGAATAAGTCAGCTCTTGGATTGATTCCTATATTAAAAGACTTAAGAGGTATTTTTTGTTTTATTTCTACAAGTTACCTCTTAAAAATGAATACTGAGATATTTTAAGAAAGTGTCAGTTTAGAGGATGTGAAATGATTTTCAACTATTTTTCGTTGCAGTGCTAATTGGTTCTAGGCAAGACAGTAGTAAATGTATGTACGTGTAAGTTATAAGGCCAAATACTTCCTTTTACTGACCACTGAACTTCTTGTTTGCTTTAGACTAGATTGATTTTCAAGCCAATGAATTTGAGCCTCGAGACACCTTATGTGCTTTGTTTCCTGTGCTGGAAATTGTATAGGGGATAGGGAGGGAGGGAAGGCCAGGCCACTTAAGGAAGCATTTCTGCTAAATTGTCTACAAAGATGGGTACTTGAATCTAACGCTCCAGAAATTTGTTGTGATTTATATTTACATCTTAAATATAAATTCACTCTTGTACCTAATTTTGTGATTTTTTTTCCCTTTTCCTTTAAATGCGTTCACCAAAGTGTATAAGCTTCCAGTCCCTCAAAACCTGTTCCTGCCCCACTTGCTCGTCACCCTCGGCCACTGCATTCAGCTGCTCATCACTGCAGTGCCAGCATCGGGGGATGTGATTTGCAGGTGGAGGGACGTGGAGTGCTTTTTCAGGATGGTGCTTGCTCCATTGTTTGCAGTGTTTTTCATCCTTCCAGACACTTGGTTGTTTAAACTATACTCCACAAAAACATTTAAGTGGCTGAAGTATTCATATTTCTTAACATAAGTGAGACATGCACTTGACTGCTGACAAAGGGTATTTTGGATTCAGTTCTTTATCCAGAGAGTCCCAGGCAGTCTGAAATCCCTGAGAGGTGTGGGGAGGGGGCCGTGGCTGGTGGTCGGAGAAATGAAGCAGGAGGTGGTTAAGGGTGGCGCTCGTTGCCGACAGTGGAGGCTGCAGGCTCACCTGCCCTCAGCTGCTTCCCAGTCCCTTGACTGACAGCCTAAACTAGCCTGCACCGTCTTTCTTCATCTTCTTCTTGCCTGACTCAGAGTCTGGCTTCTACTCCCCCTGCTCCAATGAAAGTGCTCTGGCATAAGGAAAGGATCTGCATTGCCAAATCTCATGGGAACTCTCAGTCTTGCTGCTTTAACACTCCTCGTGACTCCTTTCTTCTAGAACTTCTCATGTCCCTTGGCTTTCACAATTCCACTTCTCCTTCCTTGTCTCTTTGAGGCCTCATGTCCTCTGCTTCCTCTTGAACATGTTATTCCCTGGGGTTCTGTCCGCTGCGCATCTCTCTCCCTAGGGTGTCTCTTCCGGTCATAGCTCTGCTGGTCACCTGTACAGCGATGGCCTTCAGGCTTGTGTCACCTGGTTCCGACCTCACACTGAGCTCCACTTCCAGTTATATATCGTGCCTCAAATGTACTTTGTTCAAAACTAAAACTGCTTTCCCATCAGATATTTTTTCTTTCCCGACGTACACTCTCTCCATTAGTGAAAGTACCGTGTATCCATCCCCCTAAGCCAGGAGCGTGGGCACCGTCTAGGATGCCTCCTCTCTCCAGGTGACAGGCTGCAGCAATTCCACACATGGGCTGAGCTGTGGGGAAGGGCCAGACAGCATGCTGTCAGCATTGAGTCTGTTGTAATAGACTGGCTAAATATTCTTTAAGGAGATGATTCACTTTTTTTATGAATAATAAGGTAGGAGCCTGTGAATGAGTTTCTCAGAAGAAATTCTGAGAGCTGTCCTATTTTCTCCTGTTTCTAGCTCATGTTTTTCTTAAGAAAATAGCTTTTAAAAAAAGAATGTGAAAATGGTATGTACTTCTTGTAGAAAAATGTCATTAATATAAGGAAGTATAACTAACCTGTCTGTGTCACTGAGCATTTGCCCCAGCATTTCTATACTAATAATTGCTACCATTTATTCATTGCTTACCAAAGACCTCTGAGCTAAGTGTGTTACGTGTGTTATGTTGTTTAATTCTCAGAATAAATCTGGGTGGTATGACCCCCCTTTTACAGATGTGGAAACCTCAGAGAGCTTAGGTAACTTTCCAAGAGTAACACCACTCGGCTGTCAAGTGACAGAGGTGACAGTTCACTCAGGCTGTCTGATTTCAAAGCTTGTTCTGGTAACCGTTTGATGTTAAAATCTCTCTCTGAGGACCAGAGGTCAGTGTGCCACACCAGTACCGGGGGACTTGCTCAGCGGCTGGCCATGCACTGGGGGGTGCTGTCAGCTGGCATGACCTCAGAAGGGGAAGGGCTTTTAGGGGGCGTGCCCCCCAGATGCTTGGCCCTGGAGCCCCAGCCACACTGCAGGGACGCATAGAGCCTCTGACTTCAAGGACTCACACGGGAAGCACTGTAATAGCCACTGTGGAACAAGTACTGAAAGTGCCTCTTCATATATCTCACTCCGTACAGGACCCTAGGACCTCTGAACACCCAAGGAGAGGACTGAATTTCTGACAGTCAGACTCAGTGAAGTTGGCAATTAGATTTAACTTTTTTGTTTAAGGAAGAAATGTGTTATTTCAGATTGGAGTATAGAAGAAACAACATGACTGGCTGTGAGTTGATAACTTTTGAAGCTGAAGTCAGTGGAGATTCATGAGATTATTTTGTCTACTTTTGATTCTGTTTTAAATTTCCATAATGAAAGGATTTTGGCAGTCTATTTGAATATTAGTAGCTTTCCTCATACAACTATAATAAATAACGTTCTCTTCTTTTTATAGTGCTGTGCCGTGGCTTTCATTGAGAAATTAGATGCTCAGTCTTTGAATTTAAGTCAGGAAGATTTTGATCGATACATGTCTGGCCAGACTTCTCCCAGGAAGCAAGAATCTGAGAACTGGTCTCCTGATGCTTGCTTAGGTGTTAAGCAAATGTATAAGAACTTGGATCTCCTGTCTCAGTTGAATGAACGACAAGAAAGGATTATGAATGAAGCCAAGAAACTTGAGAAGGACCTAATAGATTGGACCGATGGAATTGCAAAAGAGGTTCAAGACATTGTTGAGAAATATCCACTTGAAATTAAGCCCCCAAGTCAGTCGTTAGCAGCTATTGACTCTGAAAATGTTGAAAACGATAAACTTCCTCCACCATTGCAACCTCAAGTTTATGCGGGATGATAAAAATTTATATGGATAGTATTTATTTGAGCCTAAATTGTAGCCAACTCTTACTACAGTCCACTGATTGGGATCTAGAATATAACTTAATTGCTTATAAATATCAGAGCATTTTTAAAGGTACAGTTTATGGGAATTGTTTGTTTTGTTTTTCTTGGCAGGTGAGGCTTAGTAAATAATAAAGTACTATTTATTTGTGTCACTGAAATAGATTCATTTAAGGCTTGTGTGAAAATTTTGTCTAAATCTATTTTTTTCTCCATGATTTTCCTATGTGCTTCCTCTGTGGCATTCACTGTGTTTTGGATTCGGGTAAATAATTGCCTTTTAAAGGATAAGACAAATGAATGCTACAAAATGTATGTTTAAGGAAATTCGATGGTACCACTGTTCTACAGTTTGAAATAATTTTATAATTGTAAAGATAGAAAATATATTGATAAGTAAATATGTAAAATTGTAAATATGTAAAAAAAAGGAATGGTGTCTGCTGTGCATGGCATTTCATGTGTTAATTTTTTTTAGTTTAAAATGAAGTATATTGAATGTTTGCCTTTAACATCATTTTATCTGGTTTGCCCCACTAAAATGAATTCAGAAGTATTTAGACCTACTCCCCTTAAAATGTTGACTCCATCTTTAACAATTTGTTAGCCTTAACTCTGAGGTCCTGTAGAGTCAGAGAATATGGCACCACTGAGGTTCAGAATACTTTTTGGTCATATAAAATTACTGTTCAGTATAATTGAAAAATGATTGAGCCATGCCTCTTGCACCTCTTTCCTCCTTTCATTCAGCAAATATTTCCCAAGCTCTTTGTAGGGGAGCTGGCCCTGGGTGTGGGTCAGACAACAGAGGAGTGGACAGGTCTCTGCTGGTGGGAGAATCCCTCAGAGCTGTGAAGTGCAGGGGGGCTTCTGCCTCCAGAGTGTTCTTCTGACTTTATGGACAACCCAGACATGCTTCATGTCAACCTCTTGTTCAGGGTTTCTTAATCTCAGCACTGTTGACATTGGGGGCTGAGGATTTGTTGTTGTGAGCGCTGCCCTGTGTGCTCTGTGGGGTGTTTCCACCCTGGCCTCTGCACCCACTGAATGCTAGTAGCGACCCCCACAGTTGTGAAAAAATCATCTCAAGACATTGCCGGATGTCTCCTGGGGGACGGAATTGTCCCCAGTTAGGAACCACTGATCTGTTTTGTGAGCAGCAAGGGAGTTTTCCTCCTGGTGGGTAATACAGTATAACCAAAGGATATGACATTAAATGCTCAGTATCATGTCAGCTGACAGCTCATTCAGTGAGGCTTTACATCCCCTGCAGCGGGGAGCCTTTTCTAATCCTAATGGGACCTTTCATAACCCTTTTATTGTCCTCCTTGCAGTGAGTGATTTCTGTAGATGACCAGTGTACCTGTGAAGTTGTGAGGAGTCCCCAGGGCAGCATTCTTGAACAAGATCACATCACACAAGCAGCTAAGAAAGCTTCCCCTGCTGTTCCAGTGTCTTCCTAAGAGCACACCATGAATT